TACCATTGGAGAAAAAGAACTGACTGTACGACCCCATTAACAGTGGATGGTAAACAAATAGCAGTGTCCCACCCTAGAAGATCCTAAAAGTAATGAAGCCACATGTGGAGGGAACGAATTGAAGATGTCAAACATCCAAGTATGGAGGGAAGAAGGAGGAGGTATCCCATGAAAATAATCCCTAAATATAAGTGGAACACTGAAGAAAGATGAAAGATAAACATGAACTATAGGAGTGTCGACAAGGTAGAATGAAGCTAAAAAAATAGGTAGGGGATAAAATGGATAGGATTAACAGAGTTGCAAATGACATAAAAACATGAAGAAAATTTGCCTAATGGTAAGCTAAGGCAAAAAGAATTAAAGCCTGTGTAGTGTGAGGTTTGCAGGTACCCACTCTCAAGAGAGAGACAAAAAGATCATCATGAATTAATATCATGAGAAGGGAAATATAAAAGTGTCAAAAAAATAATTGAGATAGGCCTAGCAGATTCTGCAGTAGAGGCCTGGAAGGCAATCCATGATAAGATGGAGGAAAACTGACAAAATCTAAATCATTTGAAATGAGTTCAACTGTTATAGGAGGAAGGCGAGCAATATTGGAAGCAGATAGGGTGGACCCCGGCCTCCAGGGGTCCTCACAAACAAAATTAATCATAAGTATAAATTATAAATTAAACGAAATCGGTGGTAAAACTGATAAACTATAGAGAAAGACAAAAATGAAATAGTCGATAAAGTGGAAATGTTAAGAAATTGTGTAGTGACAAACAGATGTATGTGATGTTATGTGTGGAACAAAAGATATTTAACCCAATTATCGATTAACCAGTAAATAGGACCATGGGCAAACTGAAAATAACAGACACTTATTAAGCCTAATTGAACTAGATATTTAACCGAATTATCGATTAACGAGGAAGAAGTGCTACAGGTAAACCGAAAATAACGAACACTTGTGAAGCCTAATCAAACAGTACAGAACAAAGGATATCATTAAGCACTATAATAAAAACTTAACCAAACAATAAGTATGTACAATGCTGGGAAAAGCTTGTGTGGACCCCAGCTCAAGGGTTCCACACAAACCAAGTGAAAAGGAAGAAGGATAAAAGATAAATAAATTAACGAAAATGAAATAAATGTTAATTTATAAAATGAAATAAGTGTGTATTAACATAATTTATGTATGAGATGTGATATATGGAAGAAAAATCAATATATTAAACTAATGATTGATAAGTCAGTAAGATGAATTACAGGTAATCCTAAAATAACACAGGTCATGGTAAGCCTAAGTGAATGGTATAGGAGAAAAGATACAACTAAAATAATTGCTAACCTGAACTTGACATTGAGTATTAACCAATCTAATGAATCTTATGTTGTGGAAAACAAATAACCACAGATAATAATAAAATAAAATTATTCAAAAACCATAACAGTAGAAAGTCTTATCTTTCCAAAGTTGGCAGACTGTATTTCAAATGTGTGGGCCCTTAAACTCAAGGTGAGGCATGATGTAAGTCACTTCATTGGACGATCAATCTCCCGACAAAGTAAAGCCAAAAATCTTCCCACGAAGTACCATGACCTAAAGCCTGTGTAAGTTTGCTAATAGTACATATAACCTCTGAAGTGGTAATGTAAAATTCAAAATGAATAACTAAGCACAACTGTGTTGGCAGAAACAAATAAAAGTTTTTGTAATGAAGTAATAAGTCCTGTAACTGGGTATAAATATAAAATAATTCCACTTCGGAATAACTCAAGTAGTTACAAATATCACTATTGTATAATAAAGAGTAAACTCATTGTGAGAAATTAATACAAAGATACAGAAAAATATTAAAACACTTGAAGAGAGTACAAACTAAATGTTATAACACGAGTACTGCCAAACAAAAAGTGATAGTTTGGTAGAATTGAATAGAGGGAGTCGCATACGTCAAGAGAGTGTGTTGCACTCTTATTAGTGAAGGGTTGTCGCATGATAATTTGCATGCAAAATGCATTGGAATTAGTCAATTTCAAATGGGTGGGAGTTTCAAGGCTTGTGGCATGCACACAAAAAAAATTTGTTGCATATGGAGGGCAGCACTGAACAAAAATAGTTATTTATGTGAGAGGAGGTAATGTACTGTATCAGAATCAATAGTTTTTAATTAAATTCTACTTATCTGTCAAATATAACTCAAACTTCGAAATTTACAGTTAAAGAACATAAAAATGCCATTGATAAATTAAAACTAATGACTCGATCTTGATGGAACACGTGGTAAATTCTTCACATATTATTGGTTGGGCTATGTTCAACTAGTTGAAGAAGTAAGGTTAAAAAATGAATCAAATATAAGTAAGAGAATCATTAGAAATTGCTAAAAACAAAATGATTTTGAATAGATATTTATGCCCTGATGCTAAAGAAGTAAATTTCTGGAAATCAATTTTGTAAATGGCCCCACAGTACAATATGCAAGTTGCACATTTACTTGGTATATAAATGAAATTTTCTGTCTTTCTTGCCTCCTGAAGATGGTAAAGCAGGTCCTACCAAAACATGTAAAGAATTTTTTTGTTTTCTATTACTGTATAAAATAAATTGTTGTACATTTTAAAACAAAAGCAGTCATCATCAATTTCAAAACATTTATATGAGGAACATGAGCTGCCGCTACCAAAAGTGACAAAAGCAAGTAAAATTTCTTTTACATGTAATGCATATTACACACAAAAACAAGCAACAAAAACCTATTCACACAAACAAAAATAGTCACTAAAAAGCATGAAAACTTATGAGCTATCATTAAAACCACTTGTTTTGGTTATATACAGCTATAAAGGACATGTAACGAAATACTAACGTTCTGTAATATTACTAATTTATTTTCTTTCAGATTTGAAACAACTTTCATTGAATTTCAATCATAATTATATATCCCTTGTTGATGTAACAATCAGTATTAGCACTTTAACTTTCTCAACATGAGCTCGGTCAATCTGACCGACCATGTGACCTCTTTGTACTCGTTTAAAGTCTTTATAGATTTAATACTTATAGCTCTCAATATAGTGTATATATCTTAACAAAATTTGGCAATCTTTAAGTTAACATTACAAGTCTTTCACATACAAAAAATTATATTTTTAGTGAAGTATTTTTAACAAAATAAACATTTGTCCATGAATATATTGAGTATTTGTTTTGAATAGTCCATGTTCAAAGTAATTTTCATATTTAAATTAAAAATACTTTTCCTCATCTCAAATTTCCTTTGTGTAATCCCTACAACCTCCTGAATGCATTTCAAACGTTTTTTTCAGTAAAACTTTATAGTTTATCTCTTATGTTCTCTACCCTATCTCAAAACGGAATTGATCAATTTGACCAGCCTTGTAACCACCACACAAAAAAAAAACACTTGAATTACCCTTTTTCTAGAATTACTTCAATTTGTAACATGAAACTATATTCGTTTATCCTAAGTAGCTCTAAGTTCGTAAAAGTATACATCTATTTATAATTGAATTTTATTGTTTTATTGCCCTATGAACTGTGTCTAACTACTATCTGCACCATTATAAGTTGTAAATCACTTGGGAAACGTGCAGCTCATGTTAAGCAATCAAATTACATTACCAATGAGCTGCTCCCGTATGTGCCTCATGAACCATTTTAATTATATTATTATTACTTATTTTACCTAATATAGTCTTAAATAACTTCAAAACATCCATATTTTTAGATTTTAGTTACTTCTATAATAATAAATAAAGAATAAACATGAAAAACAAGAAATATAATACTTAACCAATCTTCTTTTTTCTTGTCGGATTTCTAAGAGTTAACCCTAATTTTTGATACTATACATAGTAATGCACTTAATAATTTTTATTGAATTAAATAATGCACCAAAGAATATAGACTAATAACATGCAAAATGTAGAGAAATTCACTTACCCCTCAAAATTTTCCTGGCTTTCTAACTATGCAACAAAAGCCATTAAAAATTCATCCAAACTAATCGTCAACTTTCCCATGGGAATGATGTTCATAGTCTGAATGCATTTTACATTTAACTGTTCAGAACATAACGTTATACAATAC